CATTTACGTTCTCTCTGACATGTGCGAGAACGTCCACCTGTCCGTGTGGGTTGAGGATGCTTAGCCACTATGATCAGAATAAATCCATTCCTGCGAATATTTGTTCTTGGACATTTGGTGGTACAGAATCACTTGTCAATCTCCAGCACTTCCAGCAATCGTGATTTGTTACACGTAGTGTAGATGGAAGTGTATAATTATGAATGACGGGTCTCTGTTATTAGAACTAACCTCTTCCTACGATTGCTTATACTTTGGCATTCAGTCGTACAGGCTTATTCGACAAATCCGACCTTCATATTAGTCATCATCAAGGGACCACAGCCAACACAGTCGTCTTTATGAGTTGCAGCTTTCCGCAAGTTTTGTGCGCGTGCCTACAATTAGTCTGGACGGGAATTACTTGGCCAATTTAAATTACAAGAATTTTTTTAATTTGTTCTGGGATACATTTGGTAAGATTGTCGTGCTCTGGATTTCGACACAATGTTTTAACTTACTCCACTGAGACCGGCACAGTGGATTTTAGCACCATCAGTGTTACATCCCCTTCGGGCAGATTGGGACAAATAAAGCCAAAGCTGTTACCATAACTACACCCCTTATACTGGAGGAATTTACACAACTGTGCATAATTAAGTACCACCAACTGTAAGTCGAAGTGATTCATTAAATGTTAAACTACTAGTAGCAGTGCCTTTGAAGTGTCTTTAATTATCCTGGGCGGTGGTGGCGACCAACACGTAGTGAACCGGTGCTTCCGCCCACTTTATATGCGCACAATGGCTCAACTAAGAAACCAGGATCTGAGGTTGGATGGTTGGTCAACTTGTTTCTCCTACCTTCTTCCAGTTTAATGTCTACAATTCCTGTCTCACATTGCAAAGGTTGGCAACGTAGTTCGGTTAGAGCTTATGCGGCACCACAAGAGCCAATTTTCCCGATGTTCGCGAGTGAAGTGCAGGGAGATTGGGGAAGCGGTGATCGTGAGGTCGACGTTACCTCGAGATTTTTATCTCGCTTAGTAGTAGCCAAACGGGAAGATATAAATGTGCTTATAGCTAAGGATATAGCTACAATAAAGGCCGTTCTGGTATAAGGTTAGTCGGAGGCGAATGGGGAAACTCCTCTGCATTTATACAATTAGTCGAACAACGCGAAACCATTGCGAATCTAGAAGAATAAAAGCTCCTTGTCAACTATCGAGTGGGCACGAAAGCAGAAAATCCACAGTCCCCTCATTGCTTGCAGCCTAAAAATACTATTGTTAATCAGCATTTGGTTTTTACGCACGTTTTGTGCCCGATAATGTCTGTGGGATGACGATCAGAAAGACTTTACAGACCTATTTTTTCATACATCTGCTCAATTTGTGTTTTAGGATCATGAATTTAACAAATGCTACAAGATAAGTCCATAGCTTACATGGGAACTAAAACCCATAGTCTGGTTTTCTTTATCCGATTATACACATTCTAAATTTACCTTTTAATTGTTAGAACAGGGCTACTTTCTGCTGTTAGAGTTAATAAATTTTGTAGCTTTATTCTAGTTTTTTAATTATTTTTAATGATGGTACATTTTGTTGAGATAGAATTTTCAACCTTTTTTGTTTATAGTCATGAAAATACGTCGCATTTGGTATTTAACTAAATTAAAATTTCGCCTTTAGCTGGTTTGCAAGTATCATATCAGGCAAATGACTTGTACAAATTCTGATGTCTACATCGCCTGGAGTGATATTATCGAAATAAGAATCCATTCTCCTAATCCAGTATTGTGTGCCAGTTGCTATGGTCGGCCGTTTTTACCTCGAATCGGTCCTTGTGGTCACGTGTTTTGCTTTACCTGCATCTGGGTCCGAATTGCGTTTCAGCATCAAGATCGCAAGGAAACCTGCCCTGTTTGTGAAAGGCACCTCAAAAGGATGGAACTAAGAAGGTATAAAGTACACTTTTTCCTAGTACATAGGGTTCGTATATTCGAATCATACTCTCCAAAAGTCAGTGACGTGGTTCGGTTTCATCACTTAACTAAAAACGAAAACTCCATAAATTTATTTGCGCTAAATCACTTATCAACAGCATACCGTTCTCATCTGTTAGACGCAGGAGAAAATGATTTTATGAACTTACTTCAGAAAGACATTGCCTCTATGGAGAAATATAAGGTAGATCGTCAGAATGCAGTGAAGAATGGGGTTTTGTTCTTGATTGCAGAAGATATCGTAGCGTTTTTACGCCTATATGAGGAGTCGTTACTCAATAATAAGACACTGTGTGACGATGTCACTTCAACAAATTGTTCAACAACACATATTCGACGAAATCCCAAGTTCTATCTCGGTTTGATTAGTGTCTTCAAGTTAACTCATTATAGAACTGCATGGTCAAGACATATTCCTCCATGCTTTTAACCGAAGATGCCTTCAGATTGAATATGGTGATTCGGATATGCCCAAAGAGATTTCTGGAAAGGTGACAGCTGTTGGCCGGTTTACTATGGATTTGGTGCGTAATGCTGTTATAAGAAACCTACTTGTTTGCCGTTTTGTGTGCCCGTGGGCTGGAATATTTAATGATTCTTTCATTTGCTTTTAACTAGACTATGCGTGACGTGGTTCGACAACTGAGCCATTTACCGCTTGGTCACATCTTCTACTTCGTGGTGCTTGATTTCCATGGCTCAGTTGTTGGTGAAAGCACCCGCAGTCGAATGGAGTACGGATGGACACTGTCCAAATTGTCCAAGAGGCAAGTGAATGTCTTGGAAGCAGTCGGTTATGATGTCAATGACAAATTGTGTAAGTGTTAGAGTTTACGCTCGTAGTATTCCCATTATTCGTTTACATTACCCTACCCAATAATACTCTCCCCTCACTTTTTTGAAATGAAATCCCGTCCTCAATGCGTCGATTTTTTTCGAAAGCGTTCGACAGCTAACCTTTTATCAGCTCTTCTAATGTAGCTCTTGATTTGAAACGGACTGATGTCTACCTTGCGGACGAGTTTTTCTCTCTCCCTGATGCGGAACTTCAAGCGTTTCGCAGAGGCATCTCTACCCAAGTACCACTCCTACAAAGACCTGTTCGTTGGTGCATTATTGTAAGTTGTTTTGTTCTGCTCTTTTCCTTTGGGTTGTTTTTTTTTATTAGCTTTGTCCTATTTCTGCTTCTATCCATCAGATCATGTCCATGTTAATGTGCCAGCATAATATATCCGCGACCTAGATCTATCGACATCCGTTTTCACCCGAATGTCATCACAAATGTGAGCGCTAAACGTATCATTTAAGGTTTCAAGTTATTAATACTTATGCATGCAGCTTGGTTCAGCCGTATTTTTGATCGGTTTGAAAAGTTGACCAGATTACCCAACCGAACGTGAAGTTTAAATTGTTTCGTATCATTTTATTGGGCTTTATTAGTTAAACATGGTTAAATAAGGTTAAAAGTTGACTACGCATTATGTTTTTTGCTTCTATTTTCAAAAACAGGAGCTACCCTCAGGTTCGCAGGCCTTTTTTACAGAGGAAATGATTCAGGAGCGGTTACTGGAGGAGCTGCAAGAGCATACTCAGCAAAAGCAGACACAGTCAGGGCATTGTCAATTGAATGCACTGCAACAACAATTACTGGGTTTGCAACGTCCTTCAGGGCGGCAAATGCCCTTATTTCTACCGCCTGGCGAAAAGGGGTCACGAGCTATTCATATACCCCGGGAAAACAGGCAACGGAGATGCCTTCAAGTGCCATGGGAACAGTCTAGTTTCCACTATCTGCACAATCCGCGGAAACCGAAGCAGCTGAGGAAGGAAGATTAGTACGAATGGTCATCTTTATTATCCTTACAAGTCAAATAACACAGATCGCGCTCTACTTTAGATGGTTAAGTAGTCTTTCAAAAGGCCATTTGCCTCTAGTTTGGCTTTTTCTTTATCCAAATGGCTGAGCACAATTTTCTCACTACTTTTTAGAAAAAACAAGAACACTTGCTGTAATTTCTCATGGAAACCTCGTAAAGCAATCCTCTTAACCAATTCTCTTTAATTTGCGAATTCTAATGGTCTCTAAATTATTCAAATATAATCTATTTTATACGGCTAGTGGTACAGGAAGTCTTGTTTCCTTCAGAGTTAATTTTACCGTTGGAACAGTGAGTGTTGCAGAGCTGAAATCCACATTGTTTATTCATATTGCCAAGCCCTGCGTCTAATTACTGGAAATTAACAGCAGAGCCGTTCCAGCGAGGTATTTATTCGTTGGTTTAGGTACGTGGGATATCTTTTTAGTGGTGCGCCCTAATTTTACTGCATGAAATAAAACAATTTTAAAGATGATATATCTCTGTTTTGTCAAAGTGTTATTTGAACCCATTGCAGTATTAAGATCCTTCTTGGTAGTCTAGGAGGGGAAGGAGTCTTTTTTAAATCATATACTTTGCGGGATGATCACTTTTACCGCTTCCATTGGGGTTTGGGTCTAGTGCCCAATGTCTCGACGGAATTAGACACCCACAGAGGCCTTAAATGCCAAACTGGGTGCTCATGGTGTCAAATGCCTAGTAAGCGGCTGTGCATCCCCCTAAGACAGCGGACTGTCGACATCACCGTTTCTTTTCCTTAAATGCGCCATTCTTTTAGAATTTGTCTCCTAATAGTACTTTTTTAGAGGATGAGATGTTATAATAAGGTCTCTGTTCCGAACTTACACTCCTCTAAATAATGGCTTAGTCTTGATTGCATTCATCTTCATGCTGTCTGATGAGATGACCATAGTAGGCAAACCGTGACTTGCGAATGTCCATAGTCTTGACAAATAAATCATATTGCCTGCCGCGCGTTTGATTGGCAGGGCCAAAATACACGTCTTGAATGCGAGGTGTTACGCATTAATGTCTACTTAATTGTTCGAGTAGAACAGGTCATTGGATTATGGAGAAGTCTGAGGACACAATTCTTAAAACAAAACCTTTGTATGATACATTTTTGGGGCATGGTAGCTGGCAAATTTGCCTAATTTGAGGTCTTATTTGATCCCACAATGTTGTTTATACAAGTGGATTATTGAGTCATGCATCGAAACAAATGCTCTAACATCAACAAATTTGCTTGGCAATGCAGGTAGAAAGAACCAAGTGCATCATTATACTTTCCATCTTAAAAATGGGGTAATTTGATGAGTCATAATATAAAAGCGGCAATTGCATAGTTGAACATTTATACGTCCAGGTAAGGCGTTAAATTCGATGATCTGAGCGGACGTTGTTGAAATGCAAAATGCTTCCGTTCTTCACATTTGATGGACATGTTGTCCTACTTGACAACTTTAAGCAGAGGTTTCGTATTAATCTCATGTTTAATTCGACACCTTTGTCCCTGTTTTGCCGTTGCATATTGAGTACAGAAAATGATCTGATTCGATGTGGGCTGCTTGGGTTTTGTTTTTCTTTAATTGAGTATTTCTCCCGTTGGTAGGAAAAAAGGAGATTCTCCATCCTGCTGCCTGAGCTTGTTTAGAACCATCGGAGAATGAGAGCTGCGCTGAAGAAAATGCTTAACATTCACTTAATGTCTAATTAAGTGTGTGCTCTCATCGTAACTTGCTGTGCTGAAGACATTTACGGTGGAGTAAGGGTTGTCGGTAATTTAACTTGATGATTATTCAAATGATTGACTACTTCTTTTCTCTTTTGTGTTTTTATTGAGAAGATGAGTGTACCTACACAAAACAATGCAATGTATGCGGATATACAGTGGGAAAAGTGTAAGATTGTGTGAACACTTTGTTGGACAACTTTTTAAGGAAGATCTACAACCTCTGCAGCCGTCCAATGTTTATTTCTCTTAAGGATGAGAATCTTGGGTATTGGACTACTTTCCTAATCTAAAGTGTGCTTCTTATAGATGTCAAATAAAAAAGATATTGTTCAAAGCCTTTCAAAATTCTTTTGTGCTTTGTTAATATGAGCACCAATCTAGCCACAGGTGTGTGTAAATCAACCCAGAGATGCAGAAGTATTTGTTGTGCTTAAAGAAGAACTGTTGACACAGCATAGACATGAATCAAGGAGTTGTCAGGTGGTCATCAATAAATAATTCCACATTCGCTTTGGCTGTCTTAATTGATTCCTTAAAGCAGAGCTGCTTGCGAAATACGACTTATACCCACCATGGGACATTGGAATTCGCGTCAAATTGGTAATGTGTTTTCCTTTATTGTTCTCCCACCTGTTTCTAATCCCATTTAATAAAATGTATGTAAAAAATGCGGCTGTTGTGATATGAATTTAAAGTGAAATAAACTTATTAACCAGATTCAGGTTGGATTCAAGTCTTCCGGTACAGACACTTCTCCATTATGTAAGTTATATGGAAAGTGTAAAGTTGTGTAACATACTGCTCAGAATAAAATGGCTTAAAAATGTAATGCTAATGAGGGACCACTTAAAAATAAATGCATCAATTTCATAAAATCCGTACTTTTTAATAACAATGAAAGATGGTGGGTCACTTTTGATTAAAATCATTGTGAATTTGTGTCACATCGAAACTCCACAACCTGGTGGAAGTGATGATGAATCAATTCATTTACATCTTCCACATCATTTGGAAGAGGATATCACGGTTGAAGGCTCTAAGTAAATGATGCACACAGCCATGACAAGCTTTTGCGGTAGCAGAGGAAATAAATCTTCACAGGATAATAACTTGATTTTATTTGCCTTTATCTTACTTTGGATTGGAGGATTTTTTCTGATTGGTTGAGTAATGACTGGACGGCTGACTGTCTTGTAAAACGGAATAGTTGTCTTCCCAGGAATTTTGATTGCAAACAAGCACGTAAGCACATACACATATCTGTTCTAATTCACTTGTTTAGAATAAATCCAACAATTTCACAACAACAAAATACAAATATACATACATGTACAGCTACTCCATTTCATTACTACAAGGTACGTCCCATCATAAACACACAAATGTATTCTTTATTTTATCAACACAAAGTACATTTACCCATTTGCTCTCATATACTTGCTCAAATCCCTTCATACCAAGCAAATCCGACTCATCCAGTATAAGCTACCTTTGTGGAATTCACTTTGAGCATTTTCAAATAGTCGTATCCAACCAGAAGGCCCCTTTGTTTAAAGGCATGGAGGAGTATATCATGACTTGGGTGTTTTACAGCAAATTAAACTGAAGACGCCAAAAATACTGTAATAGTAATTTTGCGTCACGTTGCCAAAGTTATCTTTTTTATCCTTTGCTAAGCTCCCTTATTGTTGTCTGGCCCTACTCAGGATAACCCTTGCCACCGTTGCTGTGATACTATGAGCTTCTGCACTTCGCTGTTTTAATGTATATTTCCCCCATTACGACAATATCCTTTCGATTTGGATGTGAAGAAAAACATTTCTTTTCACTGTTAGGTAAGGTATTTGGTATTTTTCAGTCCTAATTTTTGAAACACATAAATTTGCAATTCCTTTTTTCCCTGGATATACACTGGAGTGACATAAAGTCGCCAACATTTGGGAAGTATGTTTGGTGCATGCCAACTCTAGATAGATGTAGGTAACCTGGCAAGGTTATTGTCTCACCTTCTATAACCCATTGTTTCTAGAGGTCTTTTACGGGTTGAACAAGGTTTACACGTTCGTCCTGGTCAAATGCTATGTAGATGCAGATAAAGGAAAAGTAGTATCCATGTCTACACGACCTATTCGAGGCAGAAAAGGTCATCGGTAGTGTTTAGCTTGCAATTCTAGAATTTGGCAATGCAACCTGCATTTTATGCTACCTAACCACCAAATTTGGTTCATTTTATCTTCTTAAACAATAGAACATCATCCATTGATCAAATGATCCGTGCAGATACGAATGAACCCACAGAAAATGAAACGAAACGCACAGATTCAGATCGACAAAATAAGAAATTAACAAACATTTTTGACAAATCAGATCAGTATTTTTAAAGGTGTTGAATATATTTTCAAATTGTACAATCTAAACAAAAAATAAAAAAATCAGGTCTACAAAATCCAGTTAGACTAATACTAAACGTATTTAAATATTTACAGCTAAACTAGGATTCGTGTAACAGGTTGGCTGTTTAACTCTCAGTTTTGGTGAAAGGCCTCTTGATCTTGGCCATCGTATCTCACCGGGTGAGCTGGCCTTTGGGCCATGCCAGCAGCCCTAACACCCTTTGTATGTTGGACATACATATTCTGCCCCAGTTTTCTGTCTTCTTTCGTCTCTAAGGCTGTCTTTGGGGCGCTACATGTATGTGCAATGATAAAAATAGTAAATACATTTACACATTAACTTATACGTAGGTATATGGCTATGCTAAATTTCACCAATGCACAGTACATGCACAAAAATCTCACCTTCATAGGTGTGTATTTAAAAATTTTTAACAAGACAAAAAACATGCATTTAATTACACCCCACATAGGTACATTTAATAGATAAATTTCACTGCGACCGTATACATGAGCTCATTAAAAAATACACAGGTATATAAGTGTTAAATTCAACTAAGTCACAATCCATGCACACATTTACATCTATACGCATTGAGTCACACCCATGTAGGTTTACGCACACACACATATATGTGCTGAATTTTGCCAAACACCTGCTTTCATTTACATTTGGGCGTATTGAACACGCATACATGAATGTGTACAAAATTACAAATACGAAACATATCTACACATTCATATGCACATGGATGAACACCTTGGCAAATTTTACTGATCGCTAAAAAGGGATGTTTATCCACATGTAGCGTCCGGAGACTCCCTGAAGACGAAAGAAGACAAAATACTTGGGCAGAATATGTTTTCAGTGTCTGGGCTACTGGCATGGTCCGAAGGCCAGCCCGCCCAGTGAGGTACAAGAAGGCAAACTCATATGGTCAAAAGTCCAAAAGTGGCGCCTTGCCTATACTGAGGGATAAACCACTATCGTATTACATAGCCACCCTCCTCTTTTGAGCGTCGTCCCCGACGCTCCCGCTGCTCAACCTCCTGCGTCAGCCATTACAACGTAATCGGTACTGTAAAGAAACACCCGCGATCCGACCGTGCCAGTCACCAA